ACTTCTATGATATTTCTTCCCTTCTATTCCTCCTTTTCTTTTTTTTTTTTAAACTATCTGCCTTTGTGCCTTCAGGGGCAGTGAAAGAAGACTGCCGATTCTAGATTGCTTTCAGAGTTTAGTTTGCTGATGATGGATTACCATGTCAATTTAAACGGCATAGGATTAATTTGTTTCAATGATTTCTCTTTAGGCTGAATGCCAGGACTTTTTTTTGTGTGTGTGTGCTTTCTATCTCTCCCCTCGCTCTTCAGAATAAGAATAAGAATGAAAGGAAGAAAAAACACCATCATCAAACCCTTTTTGATATCCCCTTTCTGAAAAGACCATAATAGGGAACGACAAGTTTGGTGTAAAGTTGCAACGCGGGCTCAAATTTGAGTGTTTTTTAAATCTCATTTGCAAAGGCCGAAGCCTCCCGTCAGTCACATTAAAATGAAATTGGATCTAGCATTTATTCAATAAATACTTCTCTTGTAGGTAATCCAGCACAAAGAGCTTTTGACACATAAGGACTTAATTTGTCTTGGATAAGAAGTTATTAATATGGCACATTTAAACTTGCCACCTACAATAAGGTCATTGAGATCTTTACATGATTTGGAGAACGGATTGGAGGGTGCTTGAGGGAAATATGAGGCAAGGTCTGAGATGGCATTCACCAAGAGGAAGTGGGGTGGGAACGTAGCAAGTCATCCAATGGAAAAGGTCCTGGGCTAAAAACCTAGGCTAAAACCTCATCTTAGCTGGAATTCTTCAGACAAATCCTTGCTCGGATACCTCAGTGTCCCATCCACAATGGGGGAAGAACAGCACTGATTCTCGATCCCTGTAACGGTGTATGATTTTTTTTTTTTTAAAGGAGAGACTGCCGCCCTCCCTTCTCCGATACTGCATCCACGTTTAATGTTTATAAAATGTAGTGGGCAAATCTCCCAGCGTATATTGTTCACATTCAGATCACTGCCACGTACCCCCACGTTCATATGGCAACCAAACCCGCTGCTTAGAAATCAAGCTAAAAGGCTGCAGTGTGGGTTTGCAGGCTTTTCTATAGCGTGTAAAGCTCTTCAGGCAGGAACGGAACAAGGTGGTTAAAAAGTTCAGAATTGATTTTGGAGATGCGTCTGAAGAAGGACGTCCCCCGTAATGGGTTAGGGCCTGAACAAAAGCATATTTGGGTGATTGGCTTTGTTCATTCACGAGCCCCGTGTCAGGAAGGAGACTTTTCTGTAATGCAAAGATAAGAACTCAGTCCAATAGAATGATTTTGGAAACGGCAGAAGAGATGCGTCTGCTTGGCTGAAACAGTAAAGAGAAAGTGGAACAACACAGAAGTGATCAATAAAACACTTAACATTCATGCTCAGATATTCTTACAACAGCCCTGTAAGATTAGCCAATGTCTCTGGGGCTGTGCTGGACAGTGGGGTTGAAGAACTGTAGATCTGCTTCAAAGATAAACTCCTGAATTCATGCTAGAGGTCAGGCATGAAAAATACCATCTTAGCTCACCCTTCTCTCTCATGCACGGATGTCCAGCTGTGCTCAGTCAAGCTTACTTCTTTGCAGCTGCCTTCAGGAACACCCTTCACCTACTGAATTAACCTATTTTGGGGGGGTGTAATACATTGAGCCATAAACAAACCCAAAAGGCTGGATTTGATCAATGTTTAAGCTAACAAAGCTTATAGATGTATCTGCTAGGTTTGCCATTGCCCTGGTTAAGGGTGTTTTATGAACATAGCCATTAAAGGTACTGAAAGATGCAACATTAGGGTAGGGGAAAAGTAGAATTGAATGTATTGAACAACACTAGGAAGACAGAAAGACAGATTATATATCATAGTGAGGAAGTGAAGAATGGTTGACGTTACTTTTTCTACCAAAGCATTTCTAAATGCACGGGATATTTTTATGGGCTTGTGCAGCAGCGAAGAACAATTCAGTACCTGGAATGGTTATTGAATTTTTGTTCTCCATCCATTAGAGAGCCCAGTGCTACTCAGAACTTCTTTCCTTTTTATTTTCGAGTGCTGGCTTTGAATCTACACTTGTATACAGTATAACAATATTAAGCCTTTCAATTTTGGATTTGTGTTTTTGTATCTGTAATTGATATGGATTATTCTGGCCTTGGATGGGCTGGGGATGGTTTAGTCATCTCACCTGGGATAGAATGGTGGGTCCAGAGGTAGAATATTAGAGGCTCCCATTTTTTCCTTTTTTGCCAATGTATTTTTTACTCTCCGTTTTTGACCATTGAAAATGAATAGACCAATAAACATTTTCCTTTTGAACTGATGACTTGCCCTGCTTTGAGTACAAGGATGAACAAATTTCATTATTTCTAAATAGTAAAACACACTTCGGAGGAGTCCCATTCTAATTTTCCCCATTGCCTCCTCCTTAAAACGTCATTATGAAACTTAGAATAAATGGTTAGGCTTCTGCATTCTTCCCTTCTGAATATATTTTTTCTTCTACCAGGCCCTAGTTGCTTTAACACAACATTTTTACTAAAGCTAAAATCTGCCGCTTTAATGTTATAATTTCTCAGAAGTTTTCTTCCCCTGCAAAACAAACATCTGCTTTTCTATTTTATTCTCTGATAGGCTGAGAACCAACATTGGATTTATCTTGTTGGTGTTGGGATTGATGTTGTTGGTGGAGTGATCAATGTTTTCTTGTGGGTGGGGTGTATTCCCTGATGCTTAAAGGAGCTGTTCATAAGACCTTTATTAAAGAGACTCTCCTTTGACCTGAGACACCTATATAATTATAGGGCAGTCCTAAATATCCTGTTTCTAGGAAAGGTGTTTCAAAAGGTGGTGGGCTCCCAGTTCCAGACGCAACTGATCGATACTGATTTTCTGGATCCATTTCAATTAGGTTTGCAGGTGGGATCCGGTATTGAAAATGCCTTGATTACCTTGGTGTGTAGAAAATAAATGGATGGGGAAAATGTGGTCCTACTACTAGTTCTCCTAGACCTCAGTACCATTCTCCATAGTACCTTTCTGGTCTGTCTAGCAGGATTGGACCTTGTGCACCGTGGTTACAAGGGTTCTGGTCCTTCTTGCCACAGCATTTCCATGAAGTAATGCTGAAGACTACTGCTTGATATTGATGTCCTACAGGATTTTATATGGTCCCCATGATCAACATCTACTTGAAATTTCTGGGAGAAGTCATATGAATAGAGTGGCGTGCCCTGAACTCTATTGCTTTTTACCATCCAACTTCGAGGAAATATTCTGCACCCTTGAACAATAGCTATATCTGATAACAGGCTGAATAAAACAGAACAAATTGGAATTGCATCTAAACAAGATGAAGATATTGTTGGCTAATGGACTGGGAATGAAATTCAGCCTGGTATGAATGGAGCCATGCTCCCTTGAAAGAGCTGGTTTGGGAGAGCTCCTTGATTCTCAGTCGTCTCTGGATTTGCAAGTGATGGCTCTGGTGATGAGGAATCCTTTTGCATAATTATATCTAATGTTCTATCTGTATGCTAACCCTTCTCCTGTGTTGCCTTCAGGGTAAGGAACATAGTCCTTTCACAATTTGTGTGTAATCCCCACTCTCTCAATATTTAGGAAATCTGTAAAGATGCAACTCTTTCACCAGACATTTCATTTTTTAGGTATTTTTCATATTTAACACTAGTTTTCATTTGTATTTTTAATATAACCACGTCACTAAATATTTGTAAGACCACATCTCTGATTTTGTGTTCTTTGAAGGAAATTTCAGAAACAATTCCCTTTGATTCAACTGAATGATAAGGAAAAAAAAATGCTGGGGAATTGTTCAGCTCAAAACAAGAAGGAATTACAATAAATCCTGCAAGCCTGAACTTTGTCCGTTCCTTCTCCGATTGATGTGGTTAGCCAAGAGGGATGCTACTGAAGTTCAGTCTTCTTTATTGTAGGAATCCCTCAAGGTGGTTCTTATGGAAGTACTCAGTGATGACCACACCTACATTCTAGTAGTAGGGAGAAGAAGAAGCTTCTCAACATGGTGGTGGAACCCTGGCCTTCACCACAAATAAAAGGTAATGCTTGCAATTACTTCCATGAATCAGTGCTAAATGTCACATAGGATTATACAGGGAACATATGGTTTCCACATATTCAACCCACTGACTAATTCATCCCACTGACCCACAGACAATGAGCTGCACACTACTCATTACTACCTGGGTGGTCCTTAAAGGACATTGCCATACAGCATATAAAAATGGACTCTTTGAACTTTGCCTTTTCTCTCTTTCTCAGGCACCTGTGAATGTCATTATTAAAGCATGAAATGAAACATACGTTCCACCCAGAAATGCCTAAGAAATGCCAAAATATAAAAACAGCAAACACAACTTAATCGTTTGTGCTTTCAGCCTGTTGTAAGAATCCAGTCCTCATTTTAGCTGTTTGTGTAAATT